TCCCCCACATTAAAAGTGTTACTAAAACCGCCTTCTTCCACCTGCATAATGTCACTAAAATTAAAACCATCTAATCTAAAAATGATGCAAAAAAACTGATTACTGCATTTGTCACATCTAGAATGGACTATTACAAATATGACTTCTGTTGTGACTTGGCGCTATATAAATAAAATGAACTCAATTGAACTGAATATATCATGTGTGCTGGGCCGGATTTTAGCAGGGGCTTACAGGGGCTGCAGCCCGGGGCCCCGGCATTTCAGGGGCCCCGAAGGATGTTTTATGTTTTTGTGAATGGATAGTGTCAGAATTTAATCAATGACTATGATGATTTTGACAGCACCGATGAAAAATGTTCCAATTTGTTCCGGAAAACGTCCATCTTGAATGCTTGCTTGTTATTGGTCCACTTTTGACGCATCTTACGCATTGGGGAGGAGCGTCAGGGAATATTATTTTACAATAGCAGACAACAGTGTTTGTGGTTCTAGTTCCTCCAAATAAGATGAATGCAGAAGTGTCATTAATAAATGGAAATCTGTATTTTGTTCTTCATATTTTTCAAGATGTTCTCTGTAAAAACCTTGGTCTATATATATATATATATATATATATAGGGCCCCCATATACAGTATTGACTCCAGCCCAGGGGCCCCCATCCTCCTAAGTCCGGCCCTGCATGTGTGCATTCTAAAACAACACATTGATGCCATATTTATTTAAGATTGTGTTAGCTTCCAAACATAGAGCTTGTGTTGCACATAGAAGACTGGCTACTCTCTGAGCGAGCAGACGTTCGGCTTCACCGTGTTCTTTTGACACACATTTCTGATTGTCAGGTTGGATTGGTGGCCTTCTCAGTCAAAACATCGTAAGAGGGATAGTTCTGCTTAGAACCACGGAGCATGACAGAAAGACAAAGACATTTTCCTGAAGGCGCACCCTGACAGGGTTTTGTCTGCGCTTTTTACTGTGATGCAACGTCAAAGCATTTTTTCTTTTCACTTGAGATTGCTCAGATTAGCTGAAAGCTGTCATTGAAAGTCAGTTGCTTGTGAGCTATAGTTGTTCTGAAGCAAACAACAGTTTGCAAAAAAAAAAACCCACAAGTAATATGAATAAAAACAACATTGTCTATAACAGAAGAACACTTTGTGTATTTATTTGTTTGTTTATTTATTTATTTAAGATATATTTATTTATTTATTTGACCATTTCTAAAGTTTTTTTTGTTATCTGCAGCATAATACAGAAAGTGAGCACTGGCAGTTTAATGGAGTGATTGACTTTATCTGACTTAAATCTAAGTTCTAAAGTTTTTTTTCCTTGGAACGCTTTACAACATGGCTTTTATTTACTCCATATCCCCACAAAATCTACTCTTGAACCATTTGCTGCTCTGGGTAGTCATAATAATCTTACCTTGCCTGAGAACGGTCGAGTCTCCAACCAAAAATTTGTTCACTTTTTTGTGGGATTCATCAATTTTAATGTCTAATTCAATTCCCCAATATTTACTTTACTGCATCATCTTTTTCTATGTTTTGCCTTTTTTTTTTTTATTAGATGTGCATGTCAGTTAAATAAAGGTTGAATTACAGTAATTTGTTCCTGAATGAGTGTAATTAAAGGCTAGAACCGTATTAGAAGGTATGTGTCAAATATACAATATATGTCAGTCCATGTCCACACAGAGCTAATCTGAAAAGAAAAAAAAAAAAACTTTCCTAAACCTAGTTATGTGGGTAATTTTTATTTTTATTTTGAATATTCCTGATCAGCGACTTTAACCCTGAACAGTCTTCAAAGCCATGAGTCAGTTTATTGCAACGCATCACATGCAGGAATTTAAAACCAACTTCTGACTCATGCTCAAATTAGTCAACTTGCTCATATTCTAAATGATTCCTAAACCAGCCTGTCAGTAAGTGGGTGTTTTCTGGAAATGAAATAACAATTAGTAAGGATATACAGTTTTAAAATGTATGTGCATAGCCTTCAAATGCATCAGTGGGTGCAGGTGTCCTTACAAAACATATTTGCTGTGTTGATAATGTAAGTTTTAAACCCAAATAGGTCATTTTCTCCCTTTAATTTCCACTGTGCTACTCATTGCAGAAGATGGAAGACATGTTTCCATGACAACAGTGCTAGTCAAACACAGCACAATATATGAGATACCAAACAGGAGAGTTCTTTTGTAAGGGCTTGTGTAATACTCAGCAGTGTGCATTCTTCCTTCCCCATCAAAGAAGGTGATTTAGTGGTAAAACAGTATGAAACATAGTAGGTGCTCAGTCCTAATGTGTCTAAGCTTGATTTAAAAAAAAAAAAACTTTAACATTGTAACACACTGAGTACTTCATTCCAATAAGTACCCTGTTAGCATTAACAATACGTCAAATGTCAGCTATTTTTCAGAACTAGAATTTGCGATCAGACGTAGTACAATAAAAGTTGATCTAAAATTTTAAGATGACAAAGCAGAAGGCAAACACTTAAACTTGTTGTCCAATATTTTCACTGCAGTTGTACCAGGGTCTTGACACTAAAGGAAATCTGTATATGATGCACTTGAACTGAGGAGGATTTCTTAATGACACTGTTTTGCTCGTCTATTTATCAGCCATCTCTGATTACTATCAATAATCTCCTTATTTCACTCTGTAAATCACCACAAACAACGTTGTGTTTCATTTCCCCCATTACAGATATATTTAAGTTACTAATACTTTGTGACGTATGAGTCTGGAGTATAGTGACCTTAAATTCCCCACCTCCTTACCTCTGTAGCTCTTAGTTAAGATGCAGTAGATGCTCTTTTGTGCTAAGGCGCTTGTTGTTGCCATAAGCGCATATGATTGCTTGCAGAATCACTTTCTCTGGCAGTTGTCCAGTGGAGCGCTGTGGCATCCAACTCTGAGAGTTGCACATTGTAGCCAATTTAAACATGAGGATCTCAAATTTTAAATGATTTAAACCATGACTCCAGGTGAGTGCTTCCAGTTAATTGACACCCTTATGTGATGGGTGGAAACTTGAAGCATTTATGCTGGATGACCTTACATTAATTATGCATAACTAACACAAATTAAGTCCAATGAATCAGTTTCATGTTTTCGAATCTAATGGCATTCATTCCAACGAGGGTTCATCAATAACGCACTGAAGCTAGCAGTTTAGATGTAAACCCTGCTGCTTTTATTCGACTGTGACTACCTGTTAACTCCATGTCTTTGTGCTCCATCTGTGCAGCATCTGTTGCCTGCTGCCTTGAGCCTTCAAATTAATTTAAATGATAAAGACGGCTATTTTAGCTATGACTTACCTTAATTAAAGAAAAAAAAAAAACGATAGAATTGATTGACATAGTTGCTCTTTCCCTTTAGAATCCTAATGGACATCAGATAGAAAAGTGATTTATCAATCCATCAAACATGATGTGCTTAGTAATGATCAAAATCTAATTTATTTTATTATATTTTATTCTATTGGCAGTGACTAATGAGAACATAAAAAATGGTTGTGTGTGAATTTTTGTCAGAGCGATCAGTAGCAATGGCATGTGAAAAATAAGAAGGATAAGGAGTGTGTGATTCAACACTTAAAATGTTAGAACTGATAAAAAAGGAAAAAAAAAAAAAGGTTCTGACTCTAAGATGTGGCATTTTGAGAGACAAATATTAACTTTGTGACGTTGCTTTTGTATCTTAGAGGTGGTGAACACAACTACAAATTACACTGTGTGTGTGTCAGTGTAATAATGCGATCATGCCATTGGGGATTTATTTTTTTCTGGGTCAGCTGTTGTTTTCTTGCTAATGCATGTGGCCTTTATTTGACATATATATGTCATTGTGAGACTCGTGCAGTTAGTGATCAGTAAATAAGCTTTCTGTGCTTGTTTGTTAGTTTAGTATGATTCCTTAACGGACAATATCATTAAGCAAGTGCTGGGGTAAAAATATAAATGTTATAATACAATGGTATTAATATACAGCAATATGGTAGAAAGCAGCCTCGTTTTGTATTATTTTATTTCCTGAGCTTCATTTTGTGTGCAAACAAGCAAAGTTTTTTGCAAGTCTGGCAAATATGTTCATATTTTTTATGTAGTTCATAGAACAAAATGAAAAAAGAACATCTAATTAAGAACTTGATAAACTCAATTATTAGATACAGTTAAGACTATTTATTGACTTTTTGTATCTCCCTTGTTTAATTATGTTTAAACATAACCTATTGATCACACCCGCTTTATGAATTATGCATCATTCCATACAAACCAGTTGTTTTATTTAGGATCGTTTGGTCTAAACTGGTGGATTCTGTGCAGCTTGAGTTGATTTTACTTTGTGTGTCAACACCTGCAGTAGTCTGCTTTAAAATGAGCCCTGCATTGTGAGATTTGCTTTGACTCAGTTGTGCCTGAAAGTGTTTCATCGCAGCTTTAGCTGAACAATATGAGTTTTAAAGGATGGCACGGAGTGGATTTTGTGCAAACACATTTGTATCTAAAATGCAAGACACTTTAGATTAAAACACCTATTCATTAGATAATTGTAATTTTATAAGCAGTTAAGATTATATATAAAGTTTGATTTAGAGTAACATCATTATTGTTTGCTTCTGTATGCGTTTGAGTTTAAATATAAAGCATATTTACTGTTTTGTTTTTCATTACAAGAGAACTTAAAGTATAAAGTGGAACATTGTGGTGTCTGCTTACATTAAAAAAAAAAATATATTTATTTGGTTTTGGAATAAAATTGCATACTTTGCTTTATTTAATTCATAGCAAATACAAAACACCATTTGGTTTTCCGATATCAAGCTCAAATTTAAATCAAAAGGGAATACTTCTAATTCATATTAAACAAACTTCACATTGATTGTATTTTATATTAGAACACTTTACTTACTGTCTAAAAACTAACGCGCCTGAGTCACCAAACATTTCCCAATAGATTGAACCTGTCTTTAATGTCTTCCTGCAGGAGTGACCACTGTCCTGACCATGACTACTCTGAGTATCAGTGCCAGGAACTCTCTCCCTAAAGTGGCCTATGCCACAGCTATGGACTGGTTCATCGCTGTCTGCTACGCCTTTGTCTTCTCGGCCCTCATTGAGTTTGCAACAGTGAACTACTTCACTAAGAGGGGCTACGCCTGGGATGGAAAAAGTGTTGTGCCTGAGAAGGTACCTAATCATTAATAAGGGCTTTTTTACAGTAGCTGCTTTTCTATTGATCTTTTTTCTTTCTTTTTTCTTTCTTTCTTTCTTTCTTTCTTTCTTTCTTTCTTTCTTTCTTTCTTTCTTTCTTTCTTTCTTTCTTTCTTTCTTTCTTTCTTTCTTTCTATCTATCTATCTATCTATCTATCTATCTATCTATCTATCTATCTATCTATCTATCTGTCTATCTGTCTGTCTGTCTGTCTGTCTGTCTGTCTGTCTGTCTGTCTGTCATTCTATCTGTCTATCTGTCCGTCTGTCCATTCATCCGTCCATCCGTCTATCTATCTATTACATATAACGTAGCAAAAGTAAAATGACACATTTTAAAAGTTACAATATTCCTGAACTTTGAACTAGTACAGAGCGAGCTGGAGTTAGTGACTGCTATCTTCTATTTTTTTATGTCTTTGGATATGAAAGTATTTTCTGAAGTGCTCTCGTGACTTTCTTCTAGTAAATCTAAACGTGAGTTTATCGCTTCATAGTAAATCACTTTGTCCGTTACTTCAACCTCCAGTGTCATATTTAGAACTTCAATCCAAGTAAAATATTTTTACACTGAGGTATTCTCTAAGGACTACTCTATTTTGTTTGTTTAATATCTGGAAATATCACAGTTGTCATAGGAAGTTGAATTGTTCATGTAATAAGAAGCTGCATAAAGCAACTGAAAATGTCTTAAGACTAAGATACTACAAGAATAACATAATGAAAAATAACCATAAGTATTGTATACGCAAGAAAACAACATAACAACTAACTCTATACTAAAGAACTAAATAAAATAAATAAATACAATATTGACTGATGCTAAGAGCACAACAGTATTTGCTTCAATCATTATGAAAAAAATGTGTCTTTTTAACTGTAGGATGACCTTTTTTTTACTCAGTTCTACTACATACACACACACACACACACACACACACACACATATATATATATATATATATATATATATATATATATATATATAAATATATATATATATATATTTATTATTATTTTTTTTTTTTTTTTTCTTGTAACTGGTTTGCATCCAATTTGCTCTCACCTACAAGGCATGTCAAATCAGACAGGGCATTTAGCTGCTGTCAGCATATTTTTTTTTCAAAATAAAACAGTATTTGAGTATATTAAAATAAAAATAAAAAATATAAACTGCAGATAGCAACATCACACTCAATATGTCGAAATCAAATTTATTTACAGCATAAAGCATATTTAAAAACAACAGTTATTATTAAAGTTCTAAAGAGTAAAAGACAAATGCAGAGATTAAAGGACAATAAATCAATAAAACTAATTAATTTGAAAGCATCAAAATAAAATAAACATAGAACGCACAATAATAGAGTACTAAAGCAACCCACACTGGTTTAAAAGTCAGGGAAAACACATCATGCAGCTTATTTTTAAACCCAGACCAATATGTATTGTTGGGATTAAGGCATCTGTGTTTATTCCACATAATGCACTAAATAAACAAATATGTTTCACATTAGTCTCAGAAAAAAAAACAACAAAAAAAAACAGCAGAAATTAAATTTTGTAAAAAACTTTTTGTTCCTCTCCTTTTTTTCCACCATCAGCAAAAGAAGAAGAAGGAGTCTCTCCTCAAGAAGAACAACACTACAGCCTACCCAACTGCCACTGCTACACCCTTCGCCCCCAATCCTGCTCGGAACCCCGGATTGGCCACAATCGCAAAAAGTGCCCCTCCACCCCCAGATGAGCCCAAGGAAGAGCCAAAACCCAAACCCCCAGAGGCCAAGAAGACCTTTAACAGCGTGAGCAAGATTGACAGGATTGCCAGAATAGCCTTCCCTCTGCTCTTTGGAACCTTTAACTTGGTCTACTGGGCAACCTACTTGAATAAGAAGCCCAAATTGCAAGGGGTGAATCACACCTAATCCATTTTTCATCTCTTTTCAATTTGACCTTATTTCATTTTCTTTTGAATTATTTTACAAAGGGAAAAAAAAAAAGGTATTTTGAGATAAACATTGTGTCCATTTTGGTTTGAATACTTAGTTAATCATTGCTTCTATGGTAATCTAAATTTTGAGGATTTGGAAAAAAAGAAAAAGAAAAAAAAAAAAAAAACAATACCAGAATAAAAGATAACTTATAATAGAGACTTTGAAAGGTGTTGTTCAGGTTTACAATGATGATACAAAAAAGAAAAAAATGTTAATACACATATTTAGCCAAGAGACTACTATTCTACAAATCTACATAGCCCAAACGTGTCAAGGATCTGTTGTTTTTGTGTTTGTTTATTGTTTGAGTGTACTACTTCTTTTATTTTCCATTTAATTTGAACATGGAGTCACAGGCACAGTGAAAAGGCACTTGTGAATATGCATGGGCAGGACATCCTATCGTTTATATAGATTTATTCAAACTAGAGATGAGACTTGACCGATGGCTTAGTTTGTTTGATGTCACCAGTGCTACGCTGAATCTTTTTTCAAAATATCTTCCATTCTATGTAGAATATTTATTATAGAATATGTCATTATTTAAAAAAAAAAAAAAAGAAAGAAAAGCGTTTATGGTTTCTGCAATAGCAATAAAACGTGTCTCAACGGACATAGTTTCTTTAGGGATCAAACACACAAAGTTCAGTCATCCCTGTGCTCAGAATTGAAATTACTTTTATCTTTTTGCAGCTTTGTAAATATTATTAGGTGTTAGAGATGTATTTATTTTGAATAAGATTTGAAAAGTGTAACAAAAGGGGGTGTTTAAATGAAATCATGGAAAGTAGTTTTTTTTTTTTTTTTGGCATATATTTTATTCATTTTTTACTTTGCGTTTCAACAAATAGATGAAGATATATTGGTATAAATCATGCTGGACCGACTGTTTTTCACTAAGTTAACGTTCCTCTGGAAACATTGTTCATGTTAAGGTTAAATATGTGTCAACTACTGTATGTGTGTGTACACACCGTCATCATCAACAGCATTTACTGAGAACTACTGAGCCTAGTTAGGAGCAAGAATGTAAAAACCATCTCAAAATCTGGAGTGCATTTTTACATTTAGAATTAAAAAAATATATATGTAATTGACAATTTTCTTCGGATTATCTTCTTAATATTTTTGAATCTTTTCTTTAAGCATTTGACTATTTATGCTGGGGTCTCCTTTGCTAAAACAATGTTTATAAGAAGGTTCAGTGGCAGGGCACATTGAGACAGAGGAGAAGTGCCTTTTCTATTTTCAGAGTTAAAGCTGTGGTGGTTATTAGTTGATCAATGGCACATCTGTATTTTTTTTCTATTTTACTTTGTCCCTAACCCTCCTCCCAGTTCATTCATCATAGTACACATTCACTGGGTTGAATATTGAGACATATTACTCAGAAAGTACCAGCTACACTGCCTTCAGTATCACATGCCTGTTTGGAGTCATTTGTTGCTGCTTGTTGGTGAGCAACAGCGAGAGACAGGGAGAGAAACTGAAGGAGACAAAGGAAGAAACAAAAAGACGCTGACTTGAAGTGGCACTGTAATCTTAGGTTAGCCGGGGCTGTGTTTCGCACAGAGGACTTGTCTTGCAGTTTTTATAGTGATGAAGATGAATATATTTTTGTAGCATGTCAATCCTTCTTCCAATATCAGCCAACAGAAACAAAGTGGGAAGGATGCTTTTGTTGTGGTCTTTGACATTGCTTGCCTTTTTTTTTTCTCTTCTTCTTCATATAAATTAAAAGAAAGAAAAGAAACACTTTTAGGAAATGCTTCATTTTTGACGTGGCACGTGAAGGTTTCTAAACAGTCCATTTGAAATTATGTTAATGTAGCAATATAAATTAGCAAGGGCTTTACTTAGGACCTGAACCTGACACTCAGTCTGAAGGTTAAATCCATCGTAGCTTTACACTGACCCATCTGTGCTTGTCATATTTTAGGTGTGCTGAAAATGGATATTTATTACATCCCATTGGTTAAAGATGGCAAGCGTTGTGCTTCAAGACCATCGCAACATTCAACTTCAATTGAAACTTCACTTGATAAATTTAAAAGTGGAAATGCACGCTCCGCTTCACGAGTTGAATGTTTATTTGGGTTTTGCATTGAACAGACCAAGAGACTTATTAGGACTGGGAGAAAAGTGTGTGTGTGTGTGTGTGTGTGCGCTTGTGTGCGCATATGTGTTGCCAATGGATCGCAGTTCTAGCACTTGAAGAAGAAACATTGCTTGCTTTAAACATTATCAGTAAAAATATCAATTCCGTGGTCAAATATGAGTTTATATCCAAACTGAAGACATATTAACAGGGATATACAAGCAGGCTACAGTTCACAGACACTTCTGCTACAAGCAGAGGGTCAAAGAACAATAGCATTCATGGGTAGAGTTGTATAAAGATGTTTGAGTTCAAAACTATTGTATTTATGTTTATTATCATAAAGAAATTATATATATATATATATATATATATATATATATATATATATATATATATATATATATATATATATATAGTATATCTGTAAAATACATATTGCATAAATAGTGATTATTTTATTGAAGATGTTAGCTAAAAAGATGATGATGATGTTTGTATTACCTATTATTAGGATTTTTTCACATTTAAGAGAACAATAACATTACATCTATGTAGTTAGCTTTGTGCTATGCAAGGAAAGCTTTTAACCACACCACTGACCTTTTCACCATGACCATTGAGCTTTACATTTATAAGCTATAGTGGAAAAAAAAAAAAAAGGAAGAAAGTGCATTGCTTGACTTTTTTTTCTTCTTTCAAATATTATTTATGTATCTATGAGCTTCCCCCACTCCCCAGCAATGGCTATACAGGGTGACATCAAAGAAAACAGTGGATTAACTCTTTTGTTTGAGCTTTGGATTTATCAGTAATTGGACGGAAAACAGCTTTTACTGTTGATTGCACTTTTTCCACAGGGTCATGCAATAATGTGATGGAAACAAAAGAGAGAGAGAGAGAAAAAAAAAAAGAAACTGACGAGATAACCTCATCACTTTTTTTTTTTCACTGTTTGAGCTTGCTTGCCATCACAAACAATGATGAAAGGGAAAATGTTAATTTACTTAAAGGATCATTGTGTCCACAATTTACTTTGCAAAGCTGATTGTTAGTTTAAAGTGCACAATTTTTTTTGTTTTTGTTTTTAACTTTGACAGTGTAAATGTGAATTCTGTTCTGTTTAATTTACTTATTTTTAATTGGAAACAACTTTGCTACTACATTTTCCTGTTTTACAAGATGAAGGAAGTACATTTATCAATATATTTAGCTACTTCTGGTTTTGCTTCATTTAATGTTTCAGAATGTGAAATATGAGCTACGGCGCAGTCATGAGCTTCCTACATTGACCTTCATCCTCAGACACTTTATGTATGTAAATATCACATAATGAGCTCATTGCAGTTCTCATCAACACTTGTTTTTCCACACTGAGTCTTGGTTATTCATATACACCTACTGGAGTCATTTTCTTGTCTTTTTAACAAACATATTTCAGATTTTCACAAAATAAATGATAAAATCTAAAGCACAAATGTTGATAAGGGTTAAAAAAAAAACTGGAATAATACTGTGTTCATATGAACATCAAAAATATGAAAGACACACAAGTTCACATATCCATTTATATATATATATATGCTGGTAGTCCAATGATACAGGTTAAAGATTGTGATGGATGTAGACAAATTGGTTAACCTTCTGTAAATGTTTTATTTTTTATGTTTTTTTATTTGTTTATTTATTTGTTTATTTATTTATATGTTATAATATGGCCCTGTAAAATCTAATTATCTGCATTAGTCTTTAAATAAAAAGAAAACAAATGAATGTTTTGGTCTAGTTCTGTGAATCACCAGATAAAGTTAAGCACGGCTGCATCTGTACTATAAAGTATGTATCAAATGATGTTGAGTCAGGTCCTCTGGATGGAAGAATCCATGCAGAGGACCTGACTCAATGTGTCTACCTGGAGTATTGAGATGTTTTTGTTTTCCTTCTTTTTTCAGCTGCTCCCTTTCTCAGGGGTCGCTACTGTGAACTATCTCGCACAAAGACTTGTTTTTATGCCGGATGCTCTTCCTGACGCAACCATAGATCACTGTGCTACCACAGCCCTCTGTGTGGAGCAGAGGGCTGCCATCTAGGGTGCCCGGGGAGAAGATGGTGGGGGTTTAGGGCCTTCCTCAGGGGCCCAGAATGGGGCAAAGGTGGGTGGAGGCAGGTGTGGGTGCTTCATCTTTTCCACCCAAATTTTGATGGTGTCTGTCTGTGGAGTTGAACTAGGGAGCTTCCGATCACAGGCCCACCATCTCTAACCTCTGTCACCATTACACCCCACCTGGATATTGAGCATATACATATTACTTATATATGGAACAGTTTGCAAAGAGCCTACCAAACAAACAAAGCAGTATTCTAATAAGAAATTTCAAGTAAAATGAAGGTTGACGTTCACTTTTCCAAGTTGTTAGCTTGTTCCAGTTCATATATTTTATTTTGTTTCCTTGAGATATATCTCTGGTATTGTTAACTTCTTTATAAATGTGTCTGAAGTGTTAACAGCTGCATTAAAATGTTAGTTCAAGTTAAGTTTTTAAAAGTGTTCAGAAAAGAAATATATTTATTTTAACATTGTGTAATTTGGTACTTCTAAACATTTCCAAAAACCTCCACTCTGAGCCCTGGATTCAAAAAGCTTAAGTTTCAGAGGGGGAAAAGTGGTATTGTTGTGTGCACTAAAGGACAAAATGCAAAAAAGTGATATTATAATTTCTCAAAAATAGCATAATGTAAACACGTCCTCAGTATTGGTTCTTTCATTATCCACAACTAGAGGCTTTTATCAGAAATGGTGAATCACTGATGTAAGTAATAAGAAGTCAAGTCAAGTCGAATTTATTTATAAAGAACTTTTAAAATTAGCAGCTGTCACCAAAGTGCTTAATAACATCGTCAAGGCAGTATTTAATGGAAAAAAATATGTAATTAAAAGCATCAAAACAAATATATAACACACAAACAATGAGAAACAATGAAATAGTAAATCAAATCATACTGTGTTAAATGTCAGTGAATACAGGTGT